GAAAGCGTGAACCTCAGCTCAGGGTAGTATTTTATTGACTCGCAACTCAAAAGGAATTTCAGCAATTTGCTTCAAACACTGCTGAAAAATCCTGCTCTGCTTTCTGAGTAAGTGCTGAGCTTTCCATGCCAAACCAATTTTTCAAGCCAAAATTGACAAACGCTAAAGCAGGACGTCACTGCTGAAGCGAGCGCTGCCTTCAATCACACAGAATGACTTTTACTCCACAATAATGAAATGTTCTACTCAAAACCAACACTCCTCTCACTCTGACAAGCCACGGACCACTGGGTGCACCTCAAGGTCAGCTCCTGCTCCAAAGGCAGCTGCTCCCAACGAAACATGCCATGGATGAGGGATCAGAAAAGCAATTAAAAGCTCTTTGAACAGCAATAGCTTGGAACAAATACTAATTTGTACTTCTCTGCTGAGGAGAGAATATAAAATAACGTTTCTAGTGCCATTTGATGTAAATGGAGCTTTTTATGTGGAATCATTACAAGCACCAACAGCTCCTTCAGTGAATTCTTCTGGGAAGCTGAGTGGGGGGCTCATGGATCATTTCCCTCTGCAGGGACCACACCAGCAAATGAGGGGCTCTGTCCTTCTCCTGGTTAATCCCAAAGCTGGGATTTGAGGCAGGCTGTAGGAACAGCAATTTTTTCCTCAGAGCACTCAGAGATGCTGACTCTGGGGCAAAAAGGAATCAGTTTTCCACTTGGGAATGTTCTGGGATGGGATCCCTGTGCCAGGATCCAGCCCACCAGGCCAAGGTGGTGCCTTTGGAGTGCCCTGCTCCCTGCTCAGTGCTGCAGTGCCATGGCACATTCTCAGATCCTCTGGAGAGCTGTCAGCTGCAATGAATGCAGAACAAAACTCATCCAATGTTCTGAAATGGCCTGGAAGATTAATGCAAGGATTGCCTCCCTCTTTGTACTTGGCTCTCCTCATCCGCGGGAGCGCTCCTTGTGCTGGGGATGGATGGATTAATGAATTAATAAATAAATAAAAAACAAGTAAATAAACACAGCACTGGAGGGGAGAAATAAAAGCCAGGGAGGACTCTACAGCAGGCAATTAACCTTTGAAATCCAAGCTGAGCTGCTGCTAATGAACAGCACACTGGAACTCTGAGATCCCAGCCATGCCCCAGATGGAGCTGGCTCTGAACCCTGAGGATGCCCTGGGCAGGATCTGGCTGCTCCCAACGCCTGGAATGCCAAGGAAACACTTCCCATCAGCAGCTGCCCTGATCTCCTGCCACCAGTGGGCTGTGCTGCCCTGAGAAAAGCTCTGCACAGCACTTCTGGTGTCTCCTCACCTTCCCCAGGAGCTGTCACGGGACAGGATCCCCTGGAGGGTTTGGAACAATGCTTTGGAATATGTGAAAAGGAGAGATTCTGCCCTGGAGAGGCCCTGGCACAGATTCCCAGAGCAGCTGTGGCTGCCCCTGGATCCCTGGCAGTGCCCAAGGCCAGGCTGGATGAGGTTTGGAGCTGCCTGGGATGGTGGAAGGTGTCCCTGCCATGGTGAGGAGGAATGAGATGATGATGATGATGATGATGATGATGATGATGTTTCAAGTCCCTTCCATGGCTCCATGACTCACCCGAGCTCTGTGCTCTAAAGGGGGTGGTGCCATTTAGCCAGGAGCAGCCAGGTGAGCAGACCTGTGGGAATTTCACATTCCCAAAAAAACACAGACTGAGGTCCTGAGGGGCCTTGGGTGAGGCCAGGGCTCTCTTTGTCTGGAGGCAGCACCCGAGGCTGTGACAGCACAGCCCCAGCTCCTCCTGACTCTGCTCCCTCTGACAGGATCAGAATGGGATGGGGCTGTCCCACAGGAGGGCCAGGTTGGATTTTAGGGAAAGGTTGCTGGGCACTGTCCAGGCTCCCCAGGGAATGGGCACAGCCCTGAGGCTGCCAGAGCTCCAGGAGGGTTTGGACAACACTCCAGAGATGCCCAGGGTGGGATTTGGGGATTCTGTGTGGGTCCCTCCTGACTCAGGGTGTTCCATGATTCCAAAATCAAAGAAGCCCCAGGAGCCCGGTGGGTTTTGCCTCCAGCCTGGCACCTTCCAGGCAGGATTCCCTCATCCAGCAGAGCTGGACAATGATGCTCCACTGCCTCAAGAGGGCTCCGTGAGACTTCTCTGCAGAGCTCTGCCGCGTCCCAGGATGAGAGGCGGAACAGCAGCACCAGCCCTGCTCCATCTCCCCTCAGAACCCCTCACCTGCCCACACACACAGCACTGAGGCTTTGGCTCAATAAAAATCGATTTTCTGTGTCCATCTACCTGCAAAGCCACTGGGGACTACGGAGAAGTCTGGGATAAAAAAAAAAAAAAAAAANAAAAATTCATGAGTAAATTGTATAAAAGGGATTGGGCATTTCCCTGTGGACCCTGAGGTTTGGGATGGGCTTCCCTGGGCTGCTGCTCTGCTTTGTTTGCAGTTTGATCCAACCAGACAATGGCCTAAAAAAAGTGGGGAAGTCAAGAGCAGAGAAGCAGAACAGCTGAAGCTGTTTCACTCTGAATAAATGGTGGGAAGTGTTGGTGGGACAGGTTTCCTAGAGCAGCTGTGGATGTCCCATCCCTGGACATGTCCAAGGCCAAGTTGGATAGGGAACAACCTGGGAGACTGGAAGGTGTCCCTGCCCTTGGCAAAGTGGATGAACTTTAAAATTCCAACCATTTCAGGATTCTGTGGTTGTGTCCAGCAGAGCCCTTCCAATGCTGTCGCCAGCAGAGCACAGGCTCCCCTGGATTCCCTAAAAACTGCTCTTGGAGTAACTTGGAACAGCAAGGAAAAGAGAGAAGAGCCACAGAGCAGCTCCTAAATCCTTTTAACTTGGGGAATGGCCTCTGCATTTGGCAGGATGGAGAAGACAACAACGACAACACCTGGTTACAGCCTGGAGAGGCTCAGAACTTGGAATACCACCTGGAATAATAATTCCACCTGGAATACTCTGGGGGCAGATGCTGGGCAGCACCCAGCCAGCTGTGATCCCACTGCTGTTCCTGTCAGGCTCACAACCCCAAAGGAGCCATTCCCCCTCCCTCCACCCCAACACCCAGCTCTGCCTCTGGGGCACTTTACAGACACCTCCTCCTGCTCTCCACACCAACCAGCCCCACTTTGAGCCTTGCAGCCAATTCTCACACGAGGGGGGCTCCCAAATCCCTCCCACTTTGCCCACAGGAGCCACAGAGTTTTGTGCCAAAATCCAGAGCAGTTTCCTGTTGGATTTGGGCAGTGCCTCAGCCCCTGGGACCCTGCTGGGAGGTGAGGTGTCACCAAGCTGGGCTCTGACACTCCACGCCTCATTATCCCAGTGTCCCAGGCACGTGGGAGAACTTTTCCAGGTTTCACTTCCATTTTCCTCCCTTTTTATTGGGCAGTGCCTGTGAGCAGAGCTGGCAGCAATCTGCCACTCCGCAGCCAAAAAGCTTCGGAATCTTTATTGCCATTGGCTTTGAGATGCCCTAAAGCCAAGCTTTTACAAGGTAAAATCCAATAAAAGCCAGCCAGCTACAGCTCTCCTTTGTTAGCAGCAAGGCTGTAATTATCCCAGTTCGCTTTTATGGGACTGATTGGGGACACACTCCATGTGATCCTGGATTTTCTCCTGCTGCCTGCCTCAGGTTTTCCCCAAGCTCCCATCACGGCAAAATCCAAGGGCTGACAAAGCTGTATCCGCCTGACAAAAGAGTATCCATGCAGAAATGAGGGATGAATGGCCTATTCAGAAGCCACTGACAAGGTGTATTTCCCAATTTTAGAACTTCTTGTGGAACAACGAAGCAGGATTCAACAGGGAGCTGACAGGGACAGCTCAATCTCTGCTGGATTTGGACACTTTGCTGTAATTCTGATTTGTTGTTGCACGGTTGAGGTTGTTTTAGCTGAGTCCTGGGTTTTTTTTGTTTTGGAAATAAAATAAGTCTTAGCCTAAAATAGGGGAGGTTAAAGCACAGGAGTGGAGAGAAAATGAAGTAGCAGCACTCCAGAGGGTTTTTTGTCATGGTCCTGAGCAGTGCTTAATCCTGGGAAATGATGGAGAAGGAGCTGCAGAGCCTCTCTCGTGTCCTGCCTTTGGGTGGATTATGCTGCTCTGCCTTTCCTCCTCATTCCCAAACAGACAGGCCATGGAAGAGAGGAGGAGCAGCTTTAAAAATAACCCTGACCTGGTCATGACCCTGCAGGGAAGGTTCTGGGGAAGCACTGGATGCCTTTGATCCCAGAAAAACAGACCTGGCCTCGTTGGGAGCGTTTCCTGCACCTGACACAGAGTTCAGGTGACATGAGAAATTCCCGAGCATGCCTCAATGAAACAGTGGAAAATCCCCGATTTTTCCAAGATAGAAAAGCCCAGAAGAACAGCACTTTGCCAGGGTGACCAAGTGGAGCTGCTCTCCTGTCTCAGCTCCCTGTCCCATGGCACAGCCCCTCCAGTCCCAGCTGTCCTCAGCTCCAGCTCTGCTTCCTGCCATCCCAGCACTGGGAAGAACAGCACCATTCCTCTAAACACTTCAATAAAGTTCTACTCACGCCTTGTGAGAGCAAATTAAAGGGTTTGGAGCCTTCAGGGACACCCTAATTTCTTTCTCTTTGTTGCTTTTAGTATTGCCTGATAGTTTAAGTCTTATTTGAAGCTCCAAATCAAAGAAGAAATTTCTGCCTGGGTTATCTCCAGCACAACCATCAGACCAAAGGTATTTCCACCACAAAAATTCCTACTTGTATGAATAATTCCCAGCCAAGGAGCAGCCAGGCTCTGAGCAGACACATCCACCACACACAGTTCACCTCTGCACACCCCAGCAGCACTTCCAGGTGTCCCACACCCCAAAGGCTTCTCCTGCTCCTCACGGGATCATCTTCAATCCTGTTCCCAACCACGAAAATCATTGTTCCTCCTGACATTGCTTCAGAGCCACCCCAAGCCATCCCTGCAGGAGCACCCAAACCCCAAACCCTGAGGAGTCACTCACCTGCTCGTGGTACTCGATGCCCATGCTGAGGGTGTTGATGAGGATGGCGATCATGATCCCGCGGTTGAAGTACTTGCTCTCCACGATCCTCTTGAGTTTGGTGCCGAACGCCTTCCAGAGCTTCACCACCTTGTTCCTCTCC